GCACTGCCTCCAAACCGGGTTCAGACCAACAGAGCTCATAGGAAATGAATTGATGTTTCTAACTCTCTATCTCTCTCCCTTCATCTCTGTAAAAAATCAATAAAATATATTTTTTAAAAAGTGAAGATTAATTCGGAGATGTAGTTTTCTGCATAATCACAGAAGAACATACAGGGTGTCCCAAAGATATGTATACATAGGGTAATAGCTGATGGCTCAATTTTGAAAATGAAATGTATTTTAATAAACACTGCCTTTATAATTATTCAAAGTGTGTGTATATATTTTTTTGGGACACCCTGTATATGTTAGTACTAACACAGTTACTGAGCATTTATAATGTTAAGTCTTTTTATGTAGAATACTTTTTTCCTTTCCATCTGTCAGGAACTTATTAATGGCAGAGAGCTCATTTTATTCTCATTTTTTGTGGGGCCTTCTGCACTCCCCACACTGAGAGGATCAAGCTGGAAACCCAGGCATGTGCCCTGACCGGAATCAAACAGTGACCTCCTGGTTCATAGGTCAGTGCTTCTCCACTGAGCTATACCAGCTAGGCTTTTTATTCATTCTTGAGTCTTCCATTTCCTCTCTCAATAAATATCTTGATTTATTGATTATTACCAGTCAGCAAGCTTTTGCTATGAAGGGCCAGAGAGCAAATATTTGAGAATTTTCATTCTATATGGTTGCAACTGGGCTGTTTTAGCCTGAAAGTAGCCATACATAATAATTAAATGAGAGAAGTTGAGTTCCAATAAAACTTTATTTCTGGACTCTATAATTTGAAGTTATATGCCACAAAAGAATTACTTTTCTTTTGATTTCCCCCCCAACAACTGAAAAATATAAAAACCATTCTTAGCTCATGGGCTGTTCAAAAACAGGCAGTGGGCTGCATTTAGCTCATGGGCTATAGTTTCCTAACCCCTATCCTATATGATCTATAAAGTTCTTTCCTCTGCTAACTTTCTAGAAAAGCAGAAGATACAGAAACTGATGGATGAAGCCAAGAGATGAACAAGATAATATTCTTATTCTGAGATAACCTGCAATTTAAGGAGGCAGTCTAACATAGAATGAAAGGATAAAAAGGAGGGGGTAGTCTTTTCAGAAAAGTAATTATGCCTGGGCAAACATTCCTTTACTTAAGAGAGCAAGAATGTGAAAAGAAATAGTATGAATGATTTGTAGCAATTGAGGTCATTTAATGAATCTGATAAATGACTCCATGGGGACAGGGGTGGAGGAAATGTTTGATTTTAGCCCCAGGAAGGTCAGAGATACTAGGTCTTGGTCATTTGTATAGGAGTATTGTTCCAACAACCTCAGCCTTAAAATCTCATAATAAACTATCAGTAATGCAAATCTATTGTGCCTTGTATTTTAGGAAATAGTACAAAGTGCCACAACCCGGACATGTGCCCTTGACCGGAATCGAACCCGGGACCCCTCAGTCTGCAGGCCGACGCTCTATCCACTGAGCCAAACCGGTTTCGGCTGTTTTTCTTACTTTTTAAATATTTGGGCAAATGATTTGTGATATGGAGGTTTAAAAACAAGAAATAAACATTGTTACTATTGTACTCTGCATTGCATTTTTAAGGGCAGTGATGGACGTAATATATGCTTATATTTTAGACCCATGGGCATGCTTTTCCAGTGCACATAGAAACTTTTTGTGACATGTTGCTGTTTTCTCTGTTTACTTTCCATTAGGAGATATTAGATATATCTAAGAAATCTACTCCTTGCTTTGTGAACTTCTCCAGGCTACAGCAGATCACAAATATTCAAGCTGAAATCAATCAGGTAAATTATGTTGAACTTTTTACTTTTTACTTCTAATACAGGAAAACAAATCTTAATTGTTCCCAACAGAAATTCTGTTGCACTTAGAACAGTTTGTAGTACTTAACTGGGTAGGTGTTTACTTATGTAGTTTCCTGTTAATGAAATTGTAATAGTAACAGCAGTAATTGGCAGTAGTAGCAGAAGCAGCAACAGGGCTTGCACACCAATGTGAAAAGCGCCAGGGAATCACCTGAGCTCTCATAACAAATCCTCCCCCCTCCTCCCCCTAAATATTCCTGGATAAAGTCTGTTTTTATCACAGATTATCCTTCAATCAGGCTCTTTTCTAAGTGAGGTAAATATTATTTTTGTTCCTAATGCAGAAAAACCTGGAAATTGAACTTCTAAAACTAGAAAAAGATACAGCAGACATTGTTCATCCTTCTTTTTTGGGTAAGTGGTTTGGTTAAATGGGTGGGTAATTATTGGAATTTCAACTTTTTGGATTACCTTAAATAAGCACCAGGCATTATGATATACCATTATTTTTTCGTATTGCCCCAAAGCTAACAAAATTTTCTATTTCTGTGTTCAAACAAAAGTCCTGTTGGCTTGCCTAGTGCAAATTGCATAAAAAGTGGCCAAGGTAGGAGCTCCTCAAAATTAGGAGAACTTGAAAAACCAAAAAAAAGGCTGAGAAACTTTTCAGGGACTTGACAGCTAAATCACAGTGTGTTCATAGATTGAATACTTGATTAGAGAACTTTTTTTGCTGTCAAGGACATTATTGGGCTTCTTGGTGATATTTGAATAAGGGCTGTATTAAATATTGTGCCAATGTTAAATTTTCTAAGTTTGATACTTGTGATTATATAAGAGATGGGAAATATATGCTGACATTTTAGAGGTAAAAGATCATGATATCTGCAACTTACTCTCAAATGGGTCAGCAAAAATATTTGTAAGGGTGTGGAGAGAAAGGAAAAGAGAGGCTGTAGCCAAGTGTTATCAGTTAGTGAGTCTAGGTAAAATGTATATGGGAGGTCAATGAACTTTTCTTTTCTTTTTTTTTTTTTTAGTATATTGATTTTTTACAGAGAGGAAGGGAGAGGGATAGAGAATTAGAAACATCGATGAGCGAGAAACATCAATCAGCTGTCTCCTGCACACCCCCTACTGGGAATATGCCTGCAACCAAGGTACATGCCCTTGACCGGAATCAAACCTCGGATCCTTCAGTCCGCAGGCCGACGCTCTATCCACTGAGCCAAACCGGTTAGGCCTCAATGAACTATTCTTGAAACTTTTTTCTAAGTTTGAAAATTAAAAATTTAAGTCCTAGCTGGTTTCACTCAGTGATTAGAGCGTCAGCCCAAGGACTGAAGGGTCATGGGTTCGATTCCGGTCAAGAGCACATAACTCAGTTGCAGGCAGGATCCCTGGCGCCAGTTGGGGTGGGTGCAGGAGGCAACCAGTCCATGTGTCTCTCACATCAATGCTTCTCTGTGTGTGTGTGTGTCTCTCCCCCTCTCTCCCGCTCTCTCTAAAAATCAATGGAAAAAATACCCTCAGGTGAGAATTAACAAAAAATAAAATAAATAAGATAGATAAATAAAAATAGTCCTAGCTGGTTTCACTCAGTGTTTAGAGCGTCAGCCCAAGGACTGAAGGGTCATGGGTTCGATTCCGGTCAAGAGCACATAACTCAGTTGCAGGCAGGATCTCTGGCGCCAGTTGGGGTGGGTGCAGGAGGCAACCAGTCCATGGGTCTCTCACATCAACTTCTCTGGGATAGATTGGCCATTTAAAAATATTGGTTAACTAAGTCATACATGCCTTTCACATGTTGACACACTTCTTTATAGATATTTTAAAAAGTCACATTAGGCTCTAGCTGGTTTGGCTGAGTGGATAGAGTGTTGGCCTGCATACTGAAAGGTCCCAGGTTCGATTCCAGTCAAGGGCATGTACCTTGGTTGCGGGCACATCCCCAGTGGGAGGTGTGCAAGAGGCAGCTGATCAATGTTTCTCTCTCATCAATGTTTCTAACTCTCTATCCTTCTCCCTTCCTTTCTGTAAAAAATTAGTAAAATATATTTTTAAAAAAATTTAAAAGAAGAGGCCATTAACTGAATTCTAGAGCGAATATTAAAATGATCAGAAATAGCTTGTAAGACAAATGTTTGTTTTTTAATGTTTGTGTAGAGTATTAGAGGCAGAGATGGGAAAAGAGATGTTATTTGAAGAATGTGGCACTGGCTATAAAAACTGAACTAGAAGTAGAGTTGAAAAACACAGAATTTAGCAGTGGGTTGTCAATAGGAAAAATAAAATGAAATTGATATTGGATATTAGGAATAGCAAAGGGGAGATATTTAGGAGAGCAATGGTGAGATAATTTTGGCTGTATTAAACCAAAGCAAAGAAGAATGTATTAGTGATTTCAAAATTTACTTGTCCTGCTCTGGTCAGTGTGCTAAGTGGTTAGAGCACCAACCCTCTCACTCAAGGGTTGCAGGTTCTATTCCTGGTCAAGGGCACATACCTGGGTTGCAGGCTTGATCTCTGGCGCCAGTCAGGGAATGTGCGGGAGGCAACCGTTTGATGTCTCTCATTTTTTCTCCCTCCTCCCTTCCTTTCCATTTTCTCTAAAAATCAACGGAAAAATCTTCGAGTGAGAATTAACAACAACAAAAATGTTTCCTTGTCCTATTGCTAACTATAATTACTGTTTCTGGTTTGTGTAGCTCAAAAGTGTCAAACTCTGCAAAGCATGAATAATCATTTGGAAGCAGTGCTAAAAGAGAAGAGGTCCCTCAGGCAAAGACTGTTGAAACCCATGTGCCAGGAAAACCTGCCTATTGAAGCAGTTTATCACAGGTTAGACTAAAAAGTAGACATTAGCAGTTACACGTTTTCTGAAGGTAGTTTAAACTAGTAGTTTTTTCATAGCATAATTCATTGAATAATAGTGATTATATCTGTTAACATTATTAATGCTGACACATTAAACCAGAAAGAAAATCCTTGGCTTTAAAAGTATTGTGGTGAAAAGAAAGGTATTCCTTTGTTCATAGTGTTTTGGGAATTATAAATAACTAGCATAGATATATAACAACATGTCGTGGGGTATAAGAGTGATACCTAAGTTAATCTTAATTTTCGGGGACAGTGACTATCTTGGTGAGAAAGAACGTCCAGGAGAAGGCTAAATATCATCTTTGCAAGTAGCCCCTTCATGATATTCTCTCATTTAAACCATTTTGGGTGGAACTCTGATGATATTTATTTATGACTAGAGGCCCGGTGCACAAGAATTTGTGCACTCGGGGGGAGCAGGGGGTCCCTCAGCCCGGCCTGTGCCCTCTCGCAGTCTGGGAACCCTCGG